AAAAAAAAAAAAAAATTAAAAATTAAAAAACGCTTTAAGAAGGAACAGGCCACACCTTCTTTGTGAGTAGAAATGACTTGCAGGAGAAAGCAGGGAAAGCTGAGCTAGTGGTGAGGGAGAAGAGTCAAGTTTAAGCTGTGTAGAAAGCCCCCAAAACTTTGATGTGGTTGCCCTTGTAATTCTCATGAAATCCAGGGCAGGCTCCTGAGGAGAACACGGTGCTGGAGACCGGCCCCTCTGGTTGGTTACTCAGTTAGTAGGCCTCCAGGGCAGTGTTCTCAGCTTGAGCTCTAAGTTGGGGGCTATAAGTGATGTGGCTTTGGCCAGCGGGAGGCAGAGAGGGGAGGGATTGGGAAGGCCTGTGGACTACATCTATTTTCCTCTCATTGGCCAGAGTTTATGGGATCTGCACCCAGCTTTGTTGGTCTGAGCTTTTAGTTAGGTGACTGTGCCAAACCTAGGTGTCCAGTTATGGATGACTCTCCTTGTAGGTCGGGTTGGCCCATTACATGGCAAACCTGACCTGTGTGTCTTCATGATGGAGGTCCTGGCACATGGCTATGCCTGGTCCTTAGATGTTATGCGTGGCTGTGAGCTTTCTTTGCACTGTGGAGACATCAGGGGCAAGGCCTCAAATATTTGCTCTGTGGCCCTTTATACAGGGTTTGCTTACTCCTATCGCAGGAAGAGGGGAAGGGCTGTGGGACTGCAAGGCAGCACTGAGGGTCCTCACCATCACTCATTTGAAGAGAGGCTAGCTGGAGTGAGTACTTGTTTAGACTAGGAGGTGAGCCCTTGGAGCATCAGTCAGCTCCTTTGCCCATGTTTGGAAGCCTCCATCAGAAGTCCCAGCGAGGCCAGGCAGTATGGCTGTGGCCCTGCTGTGTAAGCAGTTCAAGATCAGGTATGGGGGCTCGGCGCCTATAGCTCAACTGGCTAAGGTGCCAGCCACGTACACCTAAGGTGGCGGGTTCGAATCCCCAGCCCGGACCCGCCAAACAACGTCGGCTGCAACCAAAAAATAGCCGGGCGTTGTGGCGGG